CCTGTGTGACGGCATCGTGAAGCTCCTCAGGACTCCTCCCCAGGCCCCAGCCCATGTACAATAGTTACAGACTACTAGCGAAGGAAAAAAGCCCAATATCAAACGCGAAGCCCAGCAGGCAGCAGAAGCACACGCAGCCCCTTTGTTTCCTGGCAGTTCGATGGACATATTTGACCGCAGATCATGGCTTCGTGCGACCTTCCTACCCATCGTCTGCTAGAGTCTCCGCCTACCGCCGCCAAGATGAATTTTCTCCAGCCATCAAGCAAAAGATCAGAAGGGGACTGATTAAGGTCTAGCATGGCTGCATAGGTGCTGGTTAACCCTAACTCCTTGCTTGTCTCTTGATTTTTATTTTGTTAAAATCTGCGCTGCTGTGCCATTAAAAAATCTACAAACATTAGAAGTTAATTAGGAAATGCTTGATTGTCTAATTCTATTTCTGTAGATAAGAAGAGGAAGAGAACAATGAGAAAAAGTTGTCTATGGGCATTTGCATCCAACCATTAAAGCTTCAATCTACAATCGATCATATCATCATCTGCCAGCATAAAGAGGATTAGGGAAAGCACCATCCACCAAGAGAAACCACGGATCTGACAACATACCACACATCCAATAATATGCCTATATGGTAAGTCCACTCTGACAGTTAGCCTCAGTTTCAAATCTCAGTTTTTTGTTGTCTGTATGAATGATTGATTGACTCGAAAACTAGATTCGGAACCAACTCGTTCTAGTACCATGCACTAAAATTTTCTATATAGCAAATTCGAAAACTATTTTTTTGTAGAAAAACAATAATTTTGTAGTATTTTTTAGTGTTTGCATCAGTGAAAGCCTGATTTTAGGCCTATGCTTTTTGCATACTTTAAACTGTTTTTCCACTTGACAAGTGCTCATTAGTCCCCCCCCCTAACGATCACGGTTTCCCTTGATAGCGATTAGGCAGATCCTAATTAGGCTATCAAGTTGATGTGTTTTGGCTATCAAGTTGGCAGTCTGAAGCAGTGGGAACAAGTGTTTTTGTTTTTTCTCTGATGAAGATCGTGCGCGTTTGTCGGCACTCTGAAGCAGTGGCAACATGTGTGTGTGTTTTTCCTTTGGCGAAGACCGTGTGCGTGGGTGTTTGCAGTCTGAAGCAGTGGGAACAAGTGTGTTATTTTCTTTTTCAGCGAACCGTGCGCAGGTGTTGACAGCAAGCAGTGGCCAGACATGTGTTTTTTTTAATTACTTTGGAGAAGACTCCGCACGGATGTCGGCAGCAAGCAGTGTGAACATATGCACGTTTTTTTCCTTTGATAAAGACTATCCGCGGCCGTTGGCGGCCTGATACAGTGGGAATAGCTTTGATTCTACGGGTGAGAGAGAGAGATATAACATGCTGTCCACGGGCGAACGAGTGGTTGGCAACGGAAGGGTCGGTCGGAAAGATAGGATCAACCGGCAGAACGGATCATTTCCTTACCAGGAACTACTGTCCATTCTTCTTTATCAGCTGCATGCCAACGAACCTCAGAGGCAGAAATTGAACCTTGAACCTTGAGCTGCACCACCACCGTGTGCTCCTACGCCTGTGGTCATCAGCTCCGCCGCCAACATCACCGGTGCGTACTTTAACCCTTTCTCCCTTGTACGCCATGCCGCTTGCTCAAGGAGTACCTCGCACCGGACTCCACGGACCTGGCCGAACCAACCACGAATCCACAGCGAATATTCTACTAGACTAGAATACTATATTCGCATGTTTCTGCTTCTCATTAGATAGTTTACAACTGCACACATATATTCGCAGTATAACAATTTTTGCTGTTGTTTGTATGCACGATCGTAGAAGCATGGCTATGCAGATAGAGGAACTCCGGATTGAATCATCGGACTTGAGAAGAATTACCAACGATTTTTCAGACGCCAAGAAAATTGGATGTGGTGGCTATGGAGACGTTTACAAGGTATTAATGATCGGCTTGGTCTTCTGTTTTATCATCATCAACACCATGTTGGTAATTAGTTTTTTCAAGCAGGCAGACTACAACGGGGAAGAGATAGCAGTGAAGTTGCTTGATCCGACCAAAGGAATTGACGACCAACAATTTATGAAGGAACTCTATAACCACATGGAAGTCAAACATCGAAACATTGTACGGCTGGTCGGGTATTGCAATGAAGAAATCAAGAAATACGTTGAGCAAAAGGTTGGCCCTCCTGTTTTTGGTAAACACATATACAAAGTGCTATGCTTTGAATATATGCGGCGTGGAAGCCTCGACAAGCATCTCTCTGGTAAACTTCAGTTCAGTCCTCTTCTTTTCTGTGTTTACATAAAAAAAGATAGATTCTGTAGTTTCATGTTTGAGTAATTAATATTCATCTTTGCAGAAAATTCTCTGGGAGATGACTGGCGCACACATTATCAAATAATAAAGGGGACTTGTGAAGGCTTATGGTATCTTCACAATGGGTTGGAACATCGGATCCTCCACCTGGATCTAAAGCCTGGCAATATATTACTTGACGATTATATGGAACCGAAGATTGCAGATTTCGGATTGTCAAGGATTTACACTTCAAGCCGCAGCAATACCAGAGTTAAGTTAGTTTCAGGAACAACGTGAGTAGTCGGATGCTTCATTAATTTTTGGATGATTTTCATTCTCATGTAACTAAACAGATGGTGACATGCATTAATATTTTTTGGTATCATGCAGGAAGTACATGCCACCTGAATTAAGACGTGGGAGTGAGATATCAGAGAAGACTGATACCTACGGTTTAGGTGTTACAATCATAGATGTAATTAGGGGATCGGTTGGTTTTGAACTTTATCACGAGCTGGAGGCCACAAGATTTGTTGAAAATGTACGAACAAATTATATGTCTATGTCACCAGCATGCATGTTTTATTTAATGCTTACAGATATCCAATGTTATGACCATCATATAGACCGATAATTATCCATCTGATGGCGTCGCTGATAAACCTTTTGCCTATTGATTTTACAGGTACGTACATATTGGGGACAGAGAGATGGTACAGCACATTTAGATCAAGTAGAGGAATGCACCAAGATTGCAATACGATGTATCCGTCATGACAGAAGGAATAGGCCCACGATTAAGGAGATTGTTGCGGACTTGAATGCTACGGAAACTCAGATTTTGGCCGAGGTCGATTGATGACAATATCTAGAAACAGCATTTGCTTGACCTAGTCCAAATCTTTGACCACTTCTTAATTAATTTTTGCCTACGTCTTGTATATTCTTGTGTATATGTCAGGGTCCCCGTGCCTTAACAATCAGTTCGTCACGCGGGAAGCTCGGCTCCCTCCATGTTCCAGACAAGCTTTCTAGTTCCACTTCAGGTATACACGGACATCCAATAAACTCTGATCGTCAAGAACATGCATGCTACAATTTTTTTTTGGGTATGTTTGAATGGATTGGCCATATCGGTTTGCAGGAAGGGGGCCATTGGACGTGGTGATTGTGTATGCCTTTGACTGCTATCTGCATACCCCAGCCTGGTACACGATGAACGATTGGGTTTTTTGGTTGGTGCAAGAGAAGCTCACCCACTTCGTTGACAGCTGTCTTGGTTACGTCATGTTGACCCCTAACGAGTGCATATCAGGCATGAAGTTAGTTGAATCAGCCGACACAAAGGCAAGTGGCTACACAGACTACGACCGCAGGAGCACCAAAAGGAAAACCATGGCATCAGGCCTCGAAGAGGCGCATAACATAATCAGCAACCGCGGGCACCACAACAGCATCATATTGTTCTTCTCTGATGGATTGGTAAACAATGAATACTTCTTTCATGGGAACGAGAACTTCATCTCCCAAGTACCTGTCCACACATTTACTCTTGGCGGGAACGCATATAACCATGTATGTGTTGAATCAGAGTTGATATGGTCTAAACTATGATGAGCTTATGAATAAGTTTAATTTATTCCAGTGCAATGTACATATGCTAGATCCTCCACTCCATCGCAGCAAATTCTCCGGGCGGGAAGTTTCACAGCACCTCAATTCCAGAAAGGCCAAATGTGTCAACAGCCTTCTCGAGGCTATTGGATAAACTCCTTGGCGACGCCTCGAAGGATGATGCGAAGCCTCCTAGTACCTTTTCAGGTATATTAGATACGGGCATCCATTCTGATTCAATTTCACGACTGAACATCAAGATCAACCATAGTAAGATGTGTGAATGACCAATTGTCCATACTAATTTCCAGGAAGGGGTCCACTAGACGTGGTGATTGTGTTTGCCTTTGATCGCACTAATTCAACAGCCCAAACACGGTACACGGTGGCTCATGGGGTCTTTTGGTTGTTGCAAGAGAAGCTCACCCGTTTTGTTGACAGTTGCCTTGGTTATATATACGTCATGTCAACCCCTAAGACATACACATACACGTTGGACATGAAATTAGTTTACTCGAAGGAGAAAAAGGATGCTCCCTACACAGTGTTCAATGAGCGCACGAGAACCTGCACGAAAAACATGGCATCGGGCCTCGCCGAGGCGCATAATATGATCAAAAACCGTGGGCACCACAATGGTATCATCTTCTTGTTTTCCGATGGATTGATAAATAAGGGAGACTTCTTTGATGGAACCGACAACTACGTTTCCGAAGTGCCTGTCCACACGTTTACTCTCGGCGGGGACACATATAACCATGTATGTATCAAGTAAGAGCTACTCTAATCAGAATTATTGTTTATCAGTTAACTCCACATATGTCTATGTCTCGTGAATATGCTAGGGTCTCCAAGCCATTTCGGCAAATTCTCCTGGTGGGACGTTCAACTCCATTCCAGTTCCAGAGAAACCGCTTCTATCAGAGCCCTTCTCAACACTGCTGGATGGCCTCCTTAGCCGCACCATTGTGGACTGAAATTATCAATAGTATGGTCCATTTGCTTAGTTATTTCACTTACGCACTCCGTTTTCAATGCCTTTGTTAATTTCCTATGCCAATTGACATATAGACTCTAATAAGTGAGTCCTACCAATTGCATGGATGCACACTTGTATCTTTCGTTAGGCACTGTTAACGTAAACATAGTCGGGATTATATTATGTTGTAAACGTAAAGGGAATCCCTACTGGAATAAGGTACTATGCCGCGGCTTTTTGTCGGGGCCGTCTTCATATCTCCGGATATGCCGATGGCCAACGAAAAGCCGTGGGAAAATCTTGACCTACGACAATGGCGGCCGTCGGCATTCCTTTTTTCTTTTTCTTTTTCTATTTAAATCATTTTCTGTCTTTTTAAGTTTGAATTTGATAAATTTAAATATGACTTATCTAGACTTGAACATATACAAATTATATATCAATTTGGGGTAGAATTTTTCATAGATTATGAATATCCACTTTGTTTTTGTTTTTAATATGTTAAAAATGAAACCTCATATACTTTTGCATATAGGTCCTTGTACTTTGTAAAAATCATAAGTAATTCATACTTGCCTTGATTTTGACAAACTTTATATGGTTTTGGATCAGAATCTTGAAAGGGACTTTGTTGGTATACTATGTTTTCAAATTTGAACAAACTAAAATCATATGGACTTAAAATTTTGCAGAAAACACCCTCTTGTTTTGACTTGTTTGTATATTTTCGTTCCTTGATGAAATAAGGCAAATATAATATCTATTTGAAGTTTCAAGGATTTCAAACTAATATGTTTAGTATGAAATAGTTAGTTATAATTTTGATACTTTGCTACAATAGACTTCCCAGTCAAACTGGCAGGGTTATGCCGCTCGGGGGTCTTCGGAGGGTAGCGCTGCCACCAAAACTTGCATTAGGTCCTATACATGTCTGAAAGTGTGGTGTGGGGTTTAAACACCCAATACATAGCTCCGGACTGTGACCCCCCTTCATGGGCGAAAATACCGCAAGCACTTAGAGCGGGAAAAAATGAAGATAACTATGAAAAAATGTTAATGAATTAGAAAAATAACGTCGATATCAAATGAAATTCATGAATTCAATTGTTTTTGACAAATTTAGAGAAAATCATGAATTTGAAAATATGTTCCACATTCAAAATATAACTGTAAATTCAAAAGGTTTAGACAAATGTTTTCAAAAATTTAGTAATATATGCAGATTTTGAAAGTGAGCATGATTAAAAATTGCAAAGTTGAAAAAATGTTCATGGTTTCTTAAATGGGAAAAGAAAAGGAAAGAAAAAAAAGTAAATAAAGAACAAAACAAAACAAATTCAAAAGAAAGAGTAGAAATATAGAAAATGCTGAGGGAATGTGTTAGAACCTTCCAAATCCTGTGAGAGGAGGGAGCGAGTGGGCCGCCCAAATAAATTGCATGCCGCCGGGTAGGCCTCGTTGTAAGCGCCTTAGGCCTCGTTTGGGGAACCAACGCTCATGCGCCTTGCACGCCTAGGATGACCCAACAAAGGCGAACCAACTCACCTGTTAGGACGGCTTTGTTTGCTAATGAGTTCACCCGCTCCAGGTTAACCTCTAATTAATTGACCGTTCATACTGACCTTTGATCGTTTGGCAGTTGAATGCTGATTTTCAGAGAAAAAAAATCATGGATTTGAAAAGAATTTGTGTGCACGGAAAGTTATTAATGTATTTTAGAAAAGTTCATGCCATTCAAAAAAAAAGTTCACAGTTTCTTGAATTTAAGAAAAGTTCAAGAATTTTTACATGTTCATGTATTTGAAAAAAGTTCATGCCATTGAAAAAATTAATGGTTTCGCAAATTTGAGAAAACTTCATGAATTTTAAAAACGTTCATGGATTTAAAAAAATCATGAATATGAAAAAAAATGAGTTCGAAAAAAGATCCATGAATTTCAAAAATGGTCATGGATTTGAAAAGAAATTCATGGGTTTGAAAAAAGCTTCAAGGATTTTTAGAAAACTCATGGATTTGAAAAGGCTTGCTGATTTTAAAAAGTTCATCAATTTGAAAAAAAGAATAGGGTTTGAAAAAAAGTTCATGTATGTCAGGAAAGTGCATGAATTAAGAGAAGAATAAAAAGGAAAACAGAACAAAATCCATTGTACAAAAACCAGGGAGCATTTTAAAAATTTCCCAATACCGGCAAAAATAAGACGCCACATGGGCTGGTTCACTATGCAAGCGATTGTGTAGTGTGTGTGCGTGCGCTATCCCTAAAAAAAAGCTATTACTAGCACCCCTAAAAAAAGCTATAACTAGTACTTTAAACGCTGAATAAAAGTTGCTTTAATATCCTTGAATCAAACTGCCCGATTTTGCAAATTATGCAGTGCTTTCGAGCTACCAGAAAAGCAAGGTTGAATTTATTTCTGCCCTACAAAAAACGTTTGAACTGAGATGTCGCTTCCCATAAACAATCTCCAGCACGGTCATGAAAGTTTTTTTCTTTGAGGGGTGTTACCATCGCTTTATTTAAGAACCAAAGCTCGGAATGTCATCCGATATTACATCCAAGATATAGTCTGGAGGAAGACCATACCAGATATTACACAACTCATCCCCAACTCAAACCTTAGCTAAGGAGCACGGGTTTCGCCATGGCATCCGGTTCAGCCAGCCCGGCGTCTGTGTCCTCCAGGCTGCAGCCCATAGTTTCAGCATGGGGCTGTCCGGATCATCGGGATCTGAGGGGTTCTCGACCAGAGCTGGAGGTGCGTGATAACCCACAAGTGTAGGTGATCGCAACAACTTTCGAGGGTAAAGTATTCAACCTAAATTTATTGATTCGACACAAGGGGATACAAAGAATATTCTTGAGTATTAGCAGTTGAGTTGTCAATTCAACCACACCTGGATAACTAAGTATCTGCAGCAAAGTATTTAGTAGCAAATTAGTATGATAATAAAGGTAGCGGTAGCAAAAGTAATATTTTTGGGTTTTGTAGTGATTGTAATAATAGCAACGAAAAAGTAAATAAGTGAAACACAAGATGTGAAAAGCTCGTAGGCATTGGATCAGTGATGGATAATTATGTCGGATGCGATTCCTCATGTAATAGCTATAACATAGGGTGACACAGAACTAGCTCCAATTCATCGATGTAGTGTAGGCATGTATTCCGTATATAATCATATGTGCTTATGAAAAAGAACTTGCATGACATCTTTTGTCCTACCATCCCGTGGCAGCGGGGTCCTAGTGGAAACTAAGGGATATTAAGGCCTCCTTTTAATAGAGAACCGGAACAAAGCATTAGCACATAGTGAATACATGAACTCCTCAAACTACGGTCATCACCGAGAAATATCCCGATTATTGTCACTTCGGGGTTGTCGGGTCATAACACATAATAGGTGACTATAAACTTGCAAGATAGGATCAAGAACACACATATATTCATGAAAACATAATAGGTTCAGATCTGAAATCATGACACTCGGGCCCAAGTGTCAAGCATTAAGCATAGCAAAGTCATAGCAACATCAATCTCAGAACATAGTGGATACTAGGGATCAAACCCTAACAAAACTAACTTGATTACATGGTAAATCTCATCCAACCCATCACCGTCCAGCAAGCCTACGATGGAATTGATCACTCACGGCGGTGAGCATCATGGAATTGGTGATGGAGGATGGTTGATGATGACGACGATGACGAATCCCCCTCTCCGGAGCCCCGAACGGACTCCAGATCAGCCCTCCCGAGAGAGATTAGGGCATGGCGGCGGCTCCGTATCGTAAAACGTGATGAAGTTTTTTCTCTGATTTTTTTCTCCGCGAGACGGAATATATGGAGTTGGAGTTGAGGTCGGTGGAGCCTCAGGGGCCCACCGAGACAGGGGGCGCGGCCAGGGGGGTGGGCGCGCCCCCACCCTCGTGGACAGGGTGCACTACAAAAAAAAGACACATCCGTGACATTTTGGGCCGAACGATTTTTTTTTTCTGTCATACATATGACACTTCTATGACGATAATTGTGACAAAACCCGGTATCATCATAGATGTGGTGGGCTCCTACTTCTATGCAAAAAATCATGACACAAAATGGGCCTTTTGTCCTGGGCGGGCCGGAGACGCAGCTGCATGACATTATTTGGGCCGTCCATGAC